ACTTGATTGCAGTTGTTGCTGCAAAGCGTGGCACAACCAGTTATTAGATTTAGGGGGCAATTACTTTTTCACGTAGGGCTAGGCAGGTTTGGACAGCTTTTTCTCCTAATAAAAGAAATGATAATTTAAAACTGCATTTTGTATTTACTTGCATTATCGTTGTGTAATATTAAAATTAGTTTGATGATCTGAATCTTTTAAGTGTGACAAATATGCAAAACATTTAAAAAACAGGAAGGGGGCCAACACTTTTTCACACCACTGTATATACACATATATATATATATATGGTGATTCAAGAATTTAAAAATATTGTTAAAGTTGAACAGTTTTGTGCATTTCAAATGTAACAATTATTTATATTGGACCAGAGAAATTCTGTGTGCTTTCTAGAATGAGAACATTCTCTCCCCTCTAAATTATAAATACCACACTTGCCTCCCACTAAATATGCTTCCCATTGGGGTAAAAGAAGCCTGGTTTTGTGTCCATGTCGACCATTGTACTCCAGAGACAGGATTGTACAGAGCAGATCATTTGAGCGAGTTAATCAAGCTTCCCTCGGCAGTACAGCACAGACCACAAAACATCTGTGATCCATCTGAATTGTACACAAAATATTCTATTTATACTAAAGCACTATTAGAGGCATTCATATATTAAAAGGACAGATGGCCTTAACATTATAAACAGCACTAAGGAGAAAACAAGACAACCCTGTGCCATGCAACAACAAATTACAAAGCTTTTCAAAGTACACATCAACATTACTATAATTTAACCCATTTTTACGGTGTTACATCTACTTCGATTATGCTACTTAAATTCTAAATGCTTAAAAAAGGATTAGTCAAAACATCACATATGCGACAGAATAATGCACAATATTTTACATTTAATAGATATTAACTCTGAATTTAATTTCATTAAAACTCCACAGGAGGAGTCCAAATAAGACATGGAAGCTGTGAAACCCAAGACGAAAAAAGTGCCTTTTTATTGTTGGCTAAAGCTGGTATTTACAAAAGGAGAAGGGGAAAACCTACACTGCTGTGTACTTAAGAACTCCCTAGCAAGCAGACCAAAGCTTATTATTTCACTCCCGGCCTGTTCTATGTTCTGCCTCTTAACATGATGCCACACCCAGCACCGTCTATCAACAATCCTGTACCACTATGTTCTACTTCCTTTACACTTTTTTAAACCTATATGATCAACGATACCGTTTGCGCAGAGGCTGTTCTCACAAATCTGACAGATTTTTCACAGTGCACATTCGGAGGAGCAAATTGGAAAAAAAAAATGTGGCCTAATGGTTAGAGTCTCGGACTCGTAACCCAAAGGTTGTGGGTTCAAGTCTCGTACCAGCAGGGATTGTAGGTGGGGGGAGTGAATGTTCAGCGCTCTCTCCCACCTTCAATACCACGACTGAGGTGCCCTTGAGCAAGGCACCGAACCCCCAACTGCTCCCCGGGCGCCGCAGCAAAAATGGCTGCCCACTGCTCCGGGTGTGTGCACGTTGGATGAGTTAAATGCACTTGGGATGGGTTTGGATGGATTAAATGCTTGGCCACATCATGTCACTTAAAAGCAGATGGCTCTTGCCCAAAATCATATGATCTGCTATGATCCATGTAAGCATACACTTCATAATACCTCCAGTGTTTGTGAAATCATAAGACATCAGCAATGAAATACAAAACATCTTTGTGAACTGTTGAGTTTTTAAGCAGACCAAGCTTTGAGGTCTAGCAATAAAGAGCATCATACTGGAGAGTGTAAGATTCAAACAAAACTAGAAAAAGGAAAACCCCAGATTTTAATTACTGTTGCAAAAGAGGACCGAGAGGATCTGAAAAGTGGAGGGAACCCATTATAAACCTTAACTGTTTGCCGCATGAATAATAATAAGGTGACAACATCCACCCAGCAATTCTTGCTGAAAGACAAGTGGGCATTACTGCTTATGCTTTCGTTTAATCCACTGTCAAAGTAGGGCTGGACAATAATTCAATATCAATATGTATCGCGATATAATTTTTTTCAATAACGGTGATAGAATTTTTAAACACTTTTTCGATATACATTACCAGTGTTTCCCATACATTGATTTATTTGTGACGTTTGACTTCGTTGAATAAACAGGAGCACTGCACGTTTCAAAATCAAAACGCGTTGTGTGTGTTTTATATGAATGTATCTCTGAAGGGAACCGACTGTCTTCAGAATAGTTTAGATGGCATTTTTATCTGATAAGCGTTCATGAGCGGAGCTGATTTTTTACAGCCGTTACTGGAGAAACCGTTAGTTCTGCCACTCTCACAGCGCCTCCTGCTGGCAGACAATCAGTTTGCATTTTCAATAAACCCATTTCCAGCAACATGCTTTTGTTGTTGCTCTATTTTTTTGTTTTCTGAAGCAACTCGGAGTAGGTTTCATACACGTTATCCTGGTTAATGCACGTTTCAATCTTAATTCAAAATCAGCCTACACTACCAGTCAAAGGTTTTTGAACTGCAAGATTTTTAATGTCTCTTAAAGAATTCTCTTCTGCTCACCAAGCCTGCATTTATTTGATCCAAAATACAGCAAAAACAGTAACATTTTGAAATATTTTTACTATTTAAAGTAACTGCTTTCTATTTGAATATATATTTAAAATGTAATTTATTCATGTGATAAAAGCTAAATTTTCAGCATCATTAGGCCTACTCCAGTCTTCAGTGTAACATGATCCTTCAGCAATCATTTTAATATGCTGATTATCAATATTTAAAACAGTTGAGTACAATTTTTCAGGATTCTTTTTGACTGGTATGTTAGCCTATAGTTTGAAGTAAAAAAATATGAATATTAATAAGGAGAGTCTGAGATGTATTTGACAGTGATTTCACATTTCTTGTTTGTATGAAGGCTGAATACCAATAAAAGGTGAACATTTATTTATTTGCGCCATTTTTTTCCTAAAATATTATATAGTATAGTATAGGAGTAGGTTTCATAGAGTTGGCAAATTAATTTTTCATAAGTTTATAGGTACAGACATCTGTTGTGGCCGTTCTTGGCCGTTTTTGAGGCTTTTTTAATAGTGTTCATATCGATATTGGAATT